TTCCTTTGGTGATTATTTCGATTTCTGAAGTACAGTTCTCAAACTGGACTGAATAACTCCAACCCCCTAAGTGGTATGCATTTCTCACGCAATACACAAAAGTGGATCCAAACCCAACCCACCCTTGTTAGACACATTCATACCATTTTACCCTGCAGGATTATAATCTTAAAACGGAGATGCTCTACGTGGCTACTGTCCTCATTGGAATTTCGCTCGTATTTAAATCCACAAAGGCTCTAACAGTGGAGAATTGCTTTCTTCCGTACATTTCAGTGGATTATTTTTATGCCTTTCCATTACTTTGAGATTGAGCTGGTTTTACAACAAACTTGGCTGATATTTGCTCTGTGTCCAACTGGCATCTCCTCATGCTGTCCGTATTGCAACACAGCGCCTGCTTCTTAAAGAGCACAGATTGGCTCATTTATATTTCCACAGATCAGCATCTGTAAGCACAATCTACCGAGAGGTTTAACTCAGTGTTGTTGTTCCATTCATAGATTTATAGAACCTAGGACTGGAAGGGACCTCGAGAGGTCATCGAGTCCAGTCCCCTGCCCGCATGGCAGGACCAAATACTGTCTAGACCATCCCATTCATTATAATTAGTTCATATTACTGTGAAACAGACTCAGGATTGCAGGCTGCTTGGTTCTGGAGAGCCAATAATGGTAACAAAACGCCTAGTAAGAGTTGTTCCCAATTGCTTTTATGGTGTGATACTGCCTGGGCTGGTAGGCCTAAAATTAGACTGAGCTGCTATATTTAGACTTGGGGGCACGCGTATCCTCTGCTCCTCTCCAGGGACCAGGCAGAGCACTGGATTTTAAATGCACCCTGCTCCAAGTGCTTCAGAGATCCAAGGATTTCAATCGCTTTTGAAGTGCCACAGCAGCAGCTGGCAGAACGGAGCCTGAGGTGCAGCACAGCCCCTCCTCTGAATCACTGCATGGTGCTGGCACACAAGGATCCCAGGGTACATCAGAGCCCTGAAGACGTGAGCTGTTCAGTTGACATCTCTGCAAGAAACAAGGAAGCAGCTCGGAGAAGAAAGCATCAGAAATAAATGAAAGCAGCAGCTTCCCTCCCCCTACGGTACTCAACTGAAGTCCCCAAATCACAAAGGGAGGGGTGGGACAGCTGTTCTCTCTTCTCCCCATTGAACTTTATATTCCCTTCTTCCTTTATAAGGGTTCAGTAACACATTAAACATTCAGCTGGAGAGGAAGCTATTGCCCATCATGGCTTTAGGGATTTTCCCTGCACTATTTGAGTGCAAAGAGCAGCAGACTTACACAGGTCCAGTCCACCAGGCAAAGGGAGAGGAGGGAAACCAGACTCTCTTGTAGATGTCCAATGAGGCGCACACACAAAAATCACAGGCCTCTAGAAGTTAACTGGATGAGTTATGCTGAGATAGAACTAAGTGTTTTGCTACAGGGCTATCCAATTTGCGGTGGGCAGTAAAAGCAGTGGGTTAATAACACTGAAATACCATATATTACGAAAGAAGCTTGGTTGTGCTCAAGCTCTTCTTGTGGGGAGCAAAGACCCTCTACATAACACAGAGCTACACCATGGAGGGAGGCTGACTGGAATTCCATCCGTCTAGAGTGGGGGTTACCTAACGAAAGAAACCTTGACTTTAATATAAGCGCTACAGAAAAAGAATTGGAGCAATGGTCCAAAACCATCTTATAAGAAAAATTATTTTTATTCCTAATTTTTAATTCTGCTGTTTACAAATCTGCTTTTATTCCGATAATTATAACCTTGCAGCAATAAAAATCACAGCGCAGCTCGCAAAGCAGCTGAACTAACACCCATAAATACCAGCAGGGAAAACAACGAACAACCACTAATATTTCTATACATGATCTAGTCTTTTAATGTCACATTTTGACAATTGTAAATGATCTACAGAATGTATGTGGGCAAAAGGCAATAAGTGAGTCTTTTGAAACACTAAATGTATAATAAAACAGCGCATCATTATTAACATTTACATGATTCACATCAAATTGATGACATCCTAAATGTCCTCCTTTTAAAGGATAGAGATTTTCAATAAAATATTACATTTCATTTAATACTCTGGTACAATACTTCATACATTGCAGGAAAAAATAAATGTACGGTCTAGTCCACCTAATAAAGGATCTTTTTTCATTAGCCTTTAGTACTGTAATAAAAAAATCACAATAGTGTCATAAATAACCAGGTCTGCAATTAATTACATGTTTTGCTATTTAAAAATGGAAAAAAATAAAAATTAATTTGAAATAATGAAGTTATGAAAAAATTGTCCTAGTACCAACTGTTTGATTTATCCCATCCCTACAATGAAAAAGGAAACAAGTGTTATAGCTAGGATACAGCTAATGAAGTTGTATTTTTGAACACATATACCTCAAGAGAAAAAAAAGTTTGGTCAATAGAAGAACTAATCAGTCCTAATAAAGGTTACCTGAAATGAAAGTGTATGCTATAAAACATTCAGTAAATGAGGGTCTGCAGCAGATTCTTGCTGGCATACAATACTGTGCCTTCGGAATTGGTTTAGATTTCCCTTGTGGTATAAAGTCTTCTACAATAGAACATTTCAAAACTGCATCCCTTTTCCATTCCATTGTTACAGCAATAGCTTGTAGAGTGATGTTAAATTAGTTTTTAAAAACCCACTAAAAATACATGAAACCCAAGTATCCATTTTTCCCCTGTACCACAGAACGTTTATATCTTTTGTTTGATTTGTAATAAAACCACCAATGTTTAAAATAATATTAAAAGAGAAAGACACACTAAGAGTTACCCCTCTGTCGGCTATGTTTGAAAGGCAGCTGGTTTGTAACTTGCAAGATCCCCCCTTTGGTTTTCAGCAGGGCCAGACACTCCAATTAAAAAGAAACAGCTCTCTCTAGCATACAATCTTTTGGAATCTTTTCTAAATTTAAAAAAAAAAAAAAAAAAAACAATTCATCCATCATGTGCTCCTTAAGATTAACACACATTCTAGACAAATGAGATTTCCCCAGTTCCAAGAACAAATAACTACAGAGCTGAGTTCCACAGATTTTAAATGCTATCTTATGATAGGCAGCTTTATGCTGAATACATCACCATATTATTGGTTACAGCCAATACAAGTCAATCTTTAGGACAGGTCACATTAGTGCAGTTCATAAGCTACTGCTTAGAGGATCTTCCTTTGAACTTTCATTTTGGTACAAAGTGAGAAAGAGTCCTGTAGCACCTTATAGACTAACAGATGTATTGGAGCATAAGCTTTCGTGGGTGAATACCCACTTCATCAGAAATTTCCACCACATGCGTCTGACAAAGTGGGTATTCACCCACGAAAATTTATGCTCCAATACGGCTGTTAGTCTATAAGGTGCCACAGGACTTTTTCTCGCTTTTTACAGAGCCAGACTAACACAGCTACCCCTATGATTTTGGTACAAAGTATTTCTAATCCTGAACATGCACTTCATTTTCTCCTGATTTAAAACCTTGCAGCATCCAAGGAAATATAGCACCACATAATGCTACACAATGCTACACAAAATTTCCAATTAATTAGACTGTTATTGAATTACTCAATTCAAAAACACAACTCGGCACTTAAATGATCCCTATTTAACCTTTGCAGAAAAAGTCAACATGATGAAACTGTACACGGAGGCTGGGGAAGGAAGGTGATATAAAGCAAATATTCTATTTGTGACCGAACGAACACAAGTAGATGAAAACTGACCATCCTTTCATCAAGCCATAAGAATTTTAGATCTACAGAGGGTGCAAATATTAACGACTGTGCTATAGATAATGACATTAAGACACAAATATTATGGTGTGCTGGTGACAGGAGTTCCAGGACCAGAAGACAAGAGGTATTATAACAAAGAACAAGAGGCAAAGTAACAAAGTTCAGCTTAAAGTGAAGATGCGCCTTCATTCAGTTAAGACAAACACAAAATGTGAAGCATTTGACTTTGCAAAGCATTCTCAGGGAAAGCCAATGCAATCCCCACATGAATGTAGGGAACACAAATGCTGCACTAATTACATTCCAGGCTTTTGTGTAATTTCACTACTATGACCAATAATGTAACTTCATCACTCCTGCACCCTTACTGCACATACAGAAATACAATGCAGCGATTACCATTAACTGCATACTCTAAATAAAAATGATGATAATTCCTCAATACCACCTGGTGGCTTCACCATAATTCTCAGAACTCCACCAGCAGTGAGGGGAAAGATGCTGCTAAGACACCACTGGTACCTACTCCTCGAGCCCGATCCTGCCATGAGCACACACTCAGCTACTATAGGTTCCAATGGGAGATCCAGATTCAGACAACAGGACAGGGCAAAGTTTCTTTAATGCAGGAAACCGAGAAGTGTTTACATCCCTTCTTCTGCAGATGAAGAAACCCAGGTAACTGTGGCACTATACCAGCATCTCTCACTGCTGGCGTCACTCTGGGAGGAGTTTGTTTCATTAATAACAATCAAAAGTGTTTTTAGAGATAGATGCAGTATTTTTTTTTTAATTAAAACATGGACAGCAAATTGGATGTGGCTCTGAAAGGCACTTTAGGCAGAATGTTAATGAAACTCCCGCCTGATGAAATAGACCAGAACAAGCTGCTGTTGACTGGTACCTGCGCTGCCCTTTTCACTAAGGCAATTTTAGGTGATAGCTAATTTCCATATAGTCCTTTTCCCCAGGCTACCTTCGTTAGTGTGAGGCCTTACTGAGAACCAGAAGGCCCAAATAACTCTATTTTTAAGACAGGGTTCACTTCAGCCTAAGATAACAGCCTGCACAGGGGGTTACTGGTTTCATTGTTTTAATACGATGTCAAGTGTCACTGTGGAGCTTCCTAAAATGTCTCAGCTCCACAGGTCAGATCTCCTGCTTAATAAATGAACACTGAAAAATTAACATAGGCAGCGGCCCCACAGCTGCCTTTTTTTTTTTTTTGGCCAGAGTGGCTGTAAATTGGTATCTTGGGTACAGGTCATCTACAGAATGTTCTAGTCTGAGGCAAAGGCTACTTTTTGTAGTTACTCAAAAACAGCCCATCCAGCAACTCAGCTGAGAAGTAATCAAAGCCATCAGCGGTCACAAAAAACATCTTCATATCAAAGATGAACTGCTCACCCCTGTCAAACTCAGACCAAGTTTGAAATGCATTAGGACGAATGTTATCATGTAGCGGACTTTTAATGTGGGTGATCCACTGTCTTCAAACAATCAAGAATTGTTCCCATTAGTATTTTATATTTATATAATGGACTTACCCACATCATTGCTTCCCCATTCAAAAAAAAAATCCCCACAACTGCTCTGATAAGAAATAATGCTAATAACCAGATTTTGAAACAAAAATGCTATTTGAAGCAGATGAACGCCAGGCTAACAGTTGGCTGGATTCACAATTAAGATTCTACAAAATATCTTTCTACATTGTAGAGAGGATTTCCTTTTTATTTGAAAAATGAGCAATTGTAAATCAGATATTGGAGAGAAAGGATATAATGATCTTTAGATGGTCTTAGGTTTTGCTTATTATTGAAGGGTTAAACACCATAAATAAAAAGGTACCAAGCCTTCAAAATTCATTCTTCATGTGAAGCTTGTTCCATCTCTTTCTTGACCTTTTTTAAAAAACAATATTCATTTCTGGGAAAGGGAAAACAATTAAAAGCTCATTAGAAACATATACTATAATAATTCATCATTCTGAACGTACATGGAAATGCTTCATTTTGACACTTAACATAAACAGCAGTGATTGATATTTTAGATCTAAAATATCAGATGGAATTTCACACAACTAGAGGCATCCATCGGTTTAAAGAGATATAGTCTGGTCTTCTCCCAACTTTCATGCGGAGTGGCATATCCCACCTTTTCCACTGTCAGTTTACAATTGTAAACATGTACTATCAAAGGGACAGTGACAGGTCGGAAGGCCTTTTTTTAAGCACAAAAGGAAGAAGATTGCCAACTTGTTAGAACAGAAGCTAAAAGAATTAAGATCTAATTTACTTTTCAACATTTACGCTGTTCACTTTGCATTTCAGTTGGCTCGGACAATAAAAAAAGCCTAAACTGTTAATTCTTGAAAGGGTCACCATAAGGTAGCTTTGGCCCAAAACGTAAGAATGAATCAAAGGGATATAGAAACCTAACTTTAGAATAAAGTTCATTTAAAACTTAAATTCAAATTGCAATGTTTCCAATTGAAAACTGCAGTACTAGGCTAGTTTATGAGAACCAGAAAGAGTGAAATAAATATATTCAATTACATTTGACTGGGGAGCAGCCAGAAAAGGGTAGGTATTTAAATACAGTGTAAGACAAAATCCAAGTACTTATTTGAGTGATGGTAAGGGCTTAGTTTAGTGATATTATATCAATAATAGGATGAAGACCCTTCACTTCCCACTCCAGAGCCTTGGCTCCAATCTGCCCATAGCTGGCAGTGATTGAAAGTCATTCGCATCCAATTGTGACCTGAAGTCAGCGAGTGGTTTCAGTCCAGATCCTTGTGGACACCTGTCCACATCATACAAACACAGTTGACACTTTTTTGACAGTGTCAGTAAAAGAGGCCAAGGATTAGACAGCCTGCTGCCTTGTCTCTTTAGGTGGTCTCCAAGTCCCTAGCATAGGCCAGGATCAAAGCATACTTGCAAAGCAGCATGGGCAAGCTTACATTGCAGCTGTCTACGTTGGATCTGTTCCAGAGATAGAATGTTTTAGTCTTCAGGACTGTCTATGTAATATCTTCTGTAAGCCCCCAGTTCACGTAAATTTGAAGGAAAGAATTCCAATTTTTTTAATTCAGAGCAAAGACCAGAGATCAGAGCGAACATTCCATCTTTCTTATGAAGTCTGAAGGCAAACTCCCATTGTAAGTTAAAATTGGTTTTAGTAGTTTAACTCCCTTGAGGGCTGAGTGGGTGGCAATACATAACTGAGAGGATTTTAAGATGTGTACTGTTCCCTGGTTGTAGGGAATACTAATTAGGGAGCTATTGAAATGTAGACTCCAAAACAGGATATACTGCAAAAACCCATCAAACAGATCATCAGACCATGACTTATTTAACAAATGCCTAGTTTATGGACCACTTTCCAACTCTGATACGGGTTACAGTCTATTGGGTCAGGGCAGAGTGCTGTGTCCTGTATATGCCATAATGGCTCTGATAGGCCTACCTAAATCACATGTTTGCAGACCACTGGCCCAGTCACCTCTCTGAACCAGAGGTGGTGTTCCATCACATAAGCACATTAAACCCATATGCTAAAATCTTGTACAAAGTTTTAATTTAAGAACGTTTTAAAAGTTCAGTTATTCTCTCAAGGGGGGCTCCATGTACAAATGACATCATGGACCCCCTATATTTATTTTATCACTGACTTCCAGAGCAAACTGGCTCAGTTTACGAGTCCAAAATGATTCAATGTGATACAAAAGTGGCTGGTGTTGCAGTCTCTCCCTGAGATCTGAAAGTTTACCTGATTATTTTTGGCACAGATGTAAGAGGCAAGCAAGAGAGAGAGATTCTAGTCAGAGGCAGAACAGCATCTACACCACCCTCCCATACTGTATCAGCTCAGCAATGCTAACATGAGCATAAAACATATTTGGTCAATAGATCAAAATGAGAGGATTTAAAATCACTTACAGCCCAATCCAGCAACATTCACTAATACTCAGACTCAAAGAGCGCCACCGTCTCAATTCTGAAATGTATTTAATCCAAGAATCTTTGCCATAGCGCGAGTTGGTTTAGCAGTTAAAGTTTCAGTCAGATCTTGCAATCCTTGCTGATGTGCAATAATCAAAACCAATTTTAACTTACAATGGGAGTCTACCTTCAAACTTTATAAGCAAGATGGAGTATTAGCTCTGATCTCTGCTCTGAATGGCCTGACTTCTAAGTGTTGGAATTGGAATTCTTTCCATTAAGATCTGGTTCTGCTGGGTCCAAAATATTACCCTCCTCAATCGGTAAATCAAGTTGCTGTGAAAATGATGTTGAATATTTTAGCTGCTAAACCAACTGACACTATGGCAAAGATTCTTGGCTTATATACATTTCATGATCGAACTGTGATTATGTTAAAATATGCCATAGTGCAATAAAAACAGCTTTAGGCTAGATCATACTAGAATTTCTAATGTACGTACCTTCCTTTGCATGGAAGTTTCTGTACATCTCATCTAAAGCTTTTCTGCTGCTGCTGCATCAACCCCACATTTTCATATACTCTAGCACTATCTTCTCTCATTCTAAAATGACAGATTTTTATAGAGGGGAAAAAAGTCAGATTTACTAGAAAATAAATACATATCACATAATTCAATGATGTTAGCTAATAACGTGTTCAATTCGCTTCAAAGCACAGAGCATCTGGATTCAGAATATTGGGTGATTTCTGCATGACCCAATCAATGGGGCAGATTCTGAGACGACTCCACCCCATACAAGCACTGAAGTTGCCCACTTTAACATCATTACGGTTGTACAGAGTTAAGTCAGCACAAAACCTGGGACAGGATGAAGGCAAGACTACAATAGGGTGGCATCGCAATCTTACTGCAATGCTAGTCATTGAGAAGGTTAACAAGAAAACCCAACACAGTAGGGCAGTGTTTCCCAAACTTGGGACGCCGCTTGTTTAGGGAAAGCCCATCGGGCTGGGCCGGTTTGTTTACCTGCCGTGTCCGCAGGACTGGCCGATTGCAGCTCCCACTGCTGCGGTTCGCTGCTCCAGGCCAACGGGAGCTGCTGGAAGCAGTGGCCAGTATGTCCCTCGTCCCGCGCCAGCAGCTCCCATTGGCCTGAAGCAGCGAACCACGGCCAGTGGGAGCCGCGATCGGCCAGACCCGCGGATGAGGCAGGTAAAACAAACCGGCCCGGCCCACCAGGGGCTTTCCCTACACAAGCGGCGTCCCAAGTTTGGGAAACACTGCAGTAGGGAAACAGAATGGCAAAATATTAACGGATTTTCCTCCACCTTTCCGAACAACCTTCTGAGAACCAGGGGCCTTTTTCTTCACCACTGCACCCCCAAGTATGGAGGTATTAACCTGGGTGTCCTGGCTAAATTCTAACTTAGGTCACTGAATTCTTTCAACCTACATTTCCCCTATGCTCAGATACCATAGTAATTGTCACCGGAGAAATACACAAGACAGACAGATCATTTCAATGGGGTATGATATTCTTTACTTTCTGTCCTAAACTACTGTTAGGCAATGCTGATGTATGCTTGCTAAACAGTTCCTCTATTCATTGGTGGCTGCAGGGAACCATGTATAATTTGTGCACCATGAATAGAGCAACCGGTATATTTTTCATATCTAAGTGCTTCACACCCAAGATATCCTTTTCCTATGTTTTAACGCAGGGATTCTCAACGTTTTTCTTTCTGAGCCACCTCCCTCCCCTAACAAGCTATAAAATCTCCACAGCCCACCTGGGCCACAACAACTGGTTTTCTGCATATAAAAGCCAGGGCCGGCATTGGGGGGTAGCAAGCAGGGCAATTGATTGGGGCCCCAAACCACAGGGGCCCCCCATGAAGCTACGTTGCTCAGGCTTTGGCTTCAGCCCCGGGTGCCAGGGCTCTGGGCCCCAGGCTTCAGCACCATGTGGTGGGACTTCGGCTTTCTGCCCTGGGCCCCAGCAAGTCTAACACTGGCCCTACTTTGTGGCCCCTCTGAAACCTGCTCGCGGCCCCCCTGAGGGTCCCGAACCCCTGGTTGAAAACCACTTTATCACCAAGGCCCCATTTATGTCAAATGAAAAAAAATCAGTGCAGGATTGAAAAATTCCATTTGTGGGGACACCAGAAAAAATTAATAAAGGACCCTCAAGTGAGAGTGAGTAGAGAAAGAGAACAAAAGTTTGCTCAGGAAGTTCCTCTTTGTTATATGATTAGAAATAAACTTTTACGAGGAAAACAGTCCACAACTAGACTCTCTATTGCCGGATCTGCTTGAATTCACAGGCATTTCGGAACTCACTTGTTACTTTGAGAAACTGCTACTTACTCTGGACAGGTTGGGGTCGGAGTACATGGTGGAAGTGGGCTCTGATCCCCACTTGTCTGGTCCGATAAAGAATATTTAATGTTTGTGTATTCATGCCCTTTCCTCTTACTCTTCTGAAAAAAGGGAACACAAAAATTAAACAGGTTTAGAATAGTCAATAAAACAGAAACCTACATTTTTAGAAGATAATAGATATAAAGTTCAAGAAATGAAATATAAATTAGCCAAACCTACTTTCCCCCACCCCTCAGAAAAGAGGCTTTTTTATTTTATATAAAAAAGTTAAAGCATGAAAGATTTCACTTCTGTAACTACAACATGCACTCTGGATATTCCTAGAGGTAGAGGTTATCTTTGACTACTGGAAGCTTTCGGTAAATATCTTCACAGAATGCTTGGTCCCTGCCCGCCCACCCCCAGTCTCTAACTAGATGTGCCAACTTTGTGAGTTCACACACGTGAACATGAACGTATTTTCTTTATCCAAACCTGGCAAAAAGATCCATCCTTCATTGTACAGTAGACAGTGTCAGCCAGTGGGTCTCTGGGGCAAATGGGCATCATTCTCCAGTTTAGGATAGACATTAACAATAGCTAAATATACACCAAAGTCAAGGTTTAAATGGTCAAATACGAGTGCAAGCCCCACTCCTAACTTTTTCCAAGGTGTATTCTTGAAGTGCTCAGACCAGCAGCACCTAATGATCCAGTCAATTCTATGATTGAGATTTTCAAAGCATCTTAGGAGACATGGGGCAGGTCTACACTGAAAAATTACTTCCTCATAGCTATGTCCCTCAGGGGTGTGGAAAAAACCATACCTGAGAGACGTAGCTATGCCAACGTAATCCCCAGTGTAGACAGAACTAGGTCGATGGAAGAATTCTTCCGTAGGCCTAGCTACCGCCTTCGAGTGGATTAACCACAGGGACGGGAGAACCCCTCCCATTGCTGTTGTGAGTGTCTACGCTGAAGCACAGCAGCAGTGCAGCTGCAGCAATGCCACTGTAGCATTTTAAGTAAAGACATAGCCTTGGATTCCTAGTTCCCATTAAGGCAACTTTGAAAATCTCAGCCTGTATTGCTATACGCAGCTGGCACTAGAAATGGGATGTTTCTAGCCTCTGTCTGTCAGAGGATGGAGATGGATGGCAGGGGAGAGATCACTTGATCATTGCCTGTTAGGTTCACTCCATCTGGGGCACCTGGCATTGGCCACTGTCGGTAGACAGGATACTGGGCTAGATGGACCTTTGGTCTGACCCGGTACGGCCTCTCTTATGTTCTTATGTTCCTACCACTTCTGCCTCCCACCTTCTCCTGACAGATCACTTTGCAGGGACCCTAGTCAAAAACAATTTTGTTGCTGTAACCTTTCAAAAAATCAGATTTAAGGGGAATAAAGGTTCAGGCCTTGCCCAAATTTAGAATCTGTGAGGTACACACCTCTCACCTGGACACAGCTAATAAAGGTCAATTTTATGCTGCAGCCTAAAATTGGATTTTGAATTCTTCTAACTATGCGATAAATGCCAATTCAACCCGCAGACGTATCTTAAGTGTAAAAGCAGCCGAGAAGCAGAATCAAAGTCAGCTCTGTTCTTTGATCTGACTAAATTAGAGAAAACAAACCAGGAAGATGTAAATCTAAGGCTTTTCTTCCTCTGACTTCGCTAATTCATTATAATTATTCCTACTATTCAGTTTAATTATTGCTACCACATTTCCATTATTCCTAATTAGAAATAATTACTCAAGTTACTTCAGTGTTACAAAAAAAAATTATTGCTTCCAAGAAGAAAACTAACCAAACAAGTTTACTTTGTAGTTTTCATACATACGAAAGAGACAGGCAATATTTAACACACTACTTGATTACATCAAGACTCCAGAGGTTCTCAATGCCAAAAGGAAACGGGGAATATTTCTAGAGTAGAGCTGGGCAAACGACTCAACACATTTTCTAAATTAGGGCAAGAATAAGACACAGAACTTGCGTCACTCATTAGCTTTTCTTTCCACAACTATTTTTTTGTGAGGGGGGGTTGTTCCACTGGTAGAAAGGACAATGGAAACAGTAAATTTTACACCCCAAATAAACTGCAAATTGGGGACTGAAGACACTCAGCTGCTTCCTTCATTCTACTGATGCTCTCAACCCATTTCCACCCATTTTTGTTCCTCTCTCTCACTGCACATGTGGCGCCACCTCAGGTCATCACAAGGCTGCTCAGGATCACATTAGCTTCTGACAAGAGCGTCAACGGGCTTTTTCGTCCAGAACTAGAAGCACTATTACTGTATTAGAGTAAAGAAAAGCTTAGAATCCAGTTTAAGTCTCGTTACCATTTTAGCACCGTAGTATACGTTTTACATGACTACAGATTTAACCTGACCATCATAGGAGAGAGAGATTCCTCTGTCCTAGTAGCAGACGCTATTGTAATTATATTAGTTCCATTTATATTGGAACAACTACACTGGAACTAAAAACAAACGCCAAGAGACAGTAGTGGCAATTTTGTGAAAGGCTGCAAGTGAACTGAACAATATATAATATTTGAGGGCAAGAGCTTTGCAGAGAACTCCATGCATTTTCAAACTTCAGTGAGCTTTAAGGCAAGTAGGACAGAGTCATAAAAGAAAAATGTCTGAAGCGCCTGAGGACTCCTGTTCTGCAGGTGGTGGTGATTAGGTGGGTAACAGATGGTGTGAATGGTCTTGGAAGAAGGAGAAAGATCAGTAGCTTTAGCTATATAATTGTTGCAGCAGTATGGAGAACTGCAGAGGAGAACAGCCCCTGCTGTTCCAGACAAGGCTAAGAATCCAGGATGGCAGTCATTTAGGGTAAGGGTTGAAAGAATGAAAGCGCCAAGGAAGAAAAGGACAGAAAAAGAACAAACCCTTTCTCCATCACAGCACAATATAAACAATCTGCAAAGGCATTTTGGGGCTGCTGGAGCTTTCCGGAGCAAGGAATATCTCCATGATTCCACTTGAACTAATCCTGAGCTAACCAACACGCATTCCAATGCAGTCACTCTACCTTGTTACGAGTGGTCTCTGCTCCAAATGCTCTCTCTTCCTTGGCTATTATGCTGCAATAACATTGGCTCCATTGTTTAAAAGGATTTCTTTCCAAAGACTTAAACTAAGCCCAACATAATCACCTTTTAATCATTAAACACTTAAAATGTTAGACTTCCAAAACAGGTGTTGCCGTGACTGCTGATCGAATACAATTACTACACTTCAAACAGAGATTTAATGGAGAGACTTGAAATAACTCCTGAAATCCACGTTATGCACAATGAAGCACAAGGGAGTCTTCTTTATTAAGACTGAGAGTCTTACTTTTCATTCCTTCCACATCCTAACCTGATCAGTGAAGTTAATGGGAGTTCTGAATGCACTAGGAATGCAGGACTGGGCCTCAGACCTTGTTGCACCTTCCATGAAAATACTGTAGGTAGGAATGGTGATGGAGGAATCTTCTCCCCCTCCTAGATGGCTGAAAAACTATCGGTAAGTGTTATTACTGCTTTAGAATTATCTAAATCCTTCAGTTTCAATAAGTCTTTTAAGATAGTGACTTGAAATAGATAGTAAAGCTCTTTGAACGAATAGTGTAATAGAACAAGCCTTTTCATTTTGTCTACAGTCAACATACAGTAGATATGCCTCAAAAAGTCAGACAGCAACAGGGCAATTCTGCTCATTCCCATCACCGCCGCAAGCTCCTAATCGGCATCACTGCACAAAGACCGTGGTAGGTTTGGGACCAACGTACCTGCTCCTCTTCAATTCTACGCTGTAGCGTTTCAATGTAGTGCTGTACTGCCATGTAAATAAATCTGTACTGCGCTTCTGTTTGAACCATCCCTGACCGCTGCGATCTCACCATCTGAATGGTCTTTGGAACATCAATATCACAGTCCACGCCTAGAAGAGACCACCAGTGTTAGTGCAGCAGTGTAACACATGCTCTTTTTTTTTTTGGACTGTCAACTCTTTGGGACAGAGAGACTGTTTCCCTTGTGAATGTAAAACACATAGCACATTTGGGACTACTGTAATAATGATTTGGTGTGGAAATTTGAGTTTGAGACTCTTGCTTAGCCATTTGTACATAAACTTGCAGTACTGTAAAGACAAGATGCCAAGCTGTTCTGGAGGACGAAAGAACCATCACTTTGCATTACCCTAATTACACTCCAAATGAAGTCACATCCAGTCTTCAGCTGAAAATGTTCATCATAATACAGAAGCACTAAGGTAGAAGTGGAATACTTGGAACTTAAAGAAAAAAAGTCCACCCCACCATAGCTGAGAAAGGAGACAAGTGATGAGCAGTCTTCTGATCAGGAAAGACCTTATATCAGTCTAGTGTCAACTTTATGTTGAGTTATATAAAGGATAGTAACATGGCATTGTCTGTCCACTATAATTTTAGAGGACTTCACAACTTGCCCTTGCAAATAGGAAACCAAGATCACTAAAATGCTTTGGACAGCAAACATGGCAAATGGTAGGTACAAATGGATAGTCGCAGAATAAAGGTGTTGGCAAAAAGCTGGTAGGCTAGCAAAAAATATGGAATTTACAAAAATCACTGTAGATGAGATGCAAAATCCTCATTCCGGGCTTTGGCCATATGACTCCCTTTGAAGTCAATGGGAGCACATCTTAAAGGATGTGATTTCTGCCAGGCACAAACATACACTTTGCAACGTCTTCCTGATCTTCACCAATTGTCTCCTTCTGACAGATCACATAAAGGCACTTTCACAGCACTTGTGAAGAAACTAAACTGGGGACCTACCTTTTTCTCGGATTATGTCAATAAGAATATCAATCACAATAAAAGTTCCTGTTCGTCCAATCCCAGCACTGTAAAAAAAAAAAAAAAAAAAAGACGTGATTATGGTTTCCTTTCTGAATAGGCAATAACGTCAGAGTAGCCAACCTAAATAAGTGTCCAATATAAAGATGTACTGGACTTCCAGACGGTATTATCAAGAAGCAGCTCATTGCAGAAGCTAGGAGATAAGTTGCATTATTGTACCTGCAATGCACCACAACAGGTCCTGAATCAGCGATGCTTTCCTGCTTGTGGTGGACCTCCTCTAAGAAGTCCAGGACACCGCCAGGATCACTGGGTACTCCATGATCAGGCCAGGTTCTGAAGTGATATTGCCAGACTGTTCTCTCAGTGTTCCCCTGAAAGAGAGCCACCAACATACATGTGAAAAAATTAAATATATCCAGAGAAACCCAACCAAAAGTGTCCATTTACTCAGGATGAATCAGACTTGGTTTAAAAAAGGAACACACAACGGCCTTCTTAACACCATCAAAAACTAAAAAGGCCATGCATTCCTCTTGATTACAGTAACCTTCTCTCTAACCTCCCCAACACCCACACTGCTCCCTTCCACTCCAAATTAACACAGCCTCCAAGACAGTTCTTTCTGGCCTGGCAATCTGACCATGCCATCTGCTTCCTTGAATCCCTTCATGGCTCCCTGCTTCTCTATTGCATCAATCTCTAGCTTCTTGTCCTCATCTTCAGGATGTTGCATGACTCTATCCCTGACCTAGACCCTAACCTGACTTCAGTGGGATGATCTGCGTGTTTTCCTACTTGTTGAATCAGGGTCTTAGTCTCTTACCACGTTGTGCTCTCCTCCCACTGGCACCCACCGTTCGTGGTCTCACTCTGCCAGTGTCATCAGCCTAAGCAACCGGCTTGTTTGCTTTATCCCTGAGCTGTTTTTGCACCTTTTGGCACACGCTCGCCTGCACACAGAATGGTCTGCAGGAACTGGTTTGACAACCTAATACCCTCCCATCATTCAAACCCCTCCTTTGAGAGTCACTTCTAACACCTTCAAGTAGAATCCGTTTCCTTTTCATTCATATACAAGTCAAGCATGCCATGCACATGCCTGTGCTGAGTAACCACATACAGTAACCAAGGCTATCTCCTCGCTCGCTGCCACCCCATCGGTATGCAGCTCCTTCTGTCACAGACTAAGCTCTTTAGGGCAGTGACCCTGTGCTATATACTCAAACTTAGCATACTTTTGCATACTGCGGAATAAAGAAGAAAAATAAAACAGTAAAACAATTAAACCTGGCAACATGGCAGTAGTGAATTGCTCTGGTACTGGCGAACAGGGAGGCTCCCACATCAGGAGCAGACTAACAACAGTCATTACATAGGTACCTTAAGAATGAAGGTGATGCAAGGCACTCAGATATTATAGTGAAGGGGCACATGTGAGCATCTAAATAGATTGAAGGATGGTTTGGTTTGCACTTAAGGGCAAGACCACCTTAACTTCAGGTCTCCCAATAAATCTACAGAGACACGTTCTCTGCTGAAGTGCTTAAATAATGGCTACAAGAATATGGAAAATAAAGACATTATCCCAAGCTCAAAAGACCAAATTCCTTGACTTAGAACTTGAGCTTCAAAGTGGAGGACAGGACTTAATTTATTAAAACTAAAAGCCTGTTCCTGGACTCTCTCTTTGTGGCCAATAGAAGGTTTAGTCCTTTCATCAATTATTTTTTGCAGCCTAAATTGAAAGATGAATATTTGTTAGAAACTCTAAAGGACTAACCAAAAAAAGAAAAGCTACTGACATACTTACCTGACCAACTTTAGAAAGTTTCAGTTCTCTTAGCGTATAGTCATGAGCTGCACTTTCCTTAACATTCCTAACACGCATAACCCCGTATTCCTTTAATGCGTATTCATCAGGCCAGTATTTGACACACTTACTCTGGAAGACAGAAGAAAAAAAAAAAGTAATTACTATCTGATTTCATGGTCTATATAAATACCCAGTTCACACAGTTACTAGCATGGTGCAGATTGGCTAAGACTAGCTTAACAGGCAAAGCTAGGTTTGCCTGTCTTACCCAATGTCCATTCAAGGCGGATATTTCTTTTTCCTGTGCAAGATGGGGGAGAAAAGAGAATGCAAGGAAGCTCAAAGGGTCCAAGACAATAAGGATAGATTGAGGGAGGGGGGGGATTTGCTTTCCAGCAGCCTTCCTGATGTTGTTAGCTTCAGCAGATTACACAAAAAAAACAAAAACAAAAACCCACATCACAGTGACAGCAAAGAGGAAAGCCTAGAAGCTTGACACACTCACCTCAGAAGTAGTTTTAATACATGAAGAACTTCAAGAGGAATGCATTAATCTCACAAGTAGCTCTAAAACCTAATATTTAAAGCTATAAATAGAAGTCAAAGAAACTGGCCATTTTTAGTATAGAAGCATCTTGCAAGAAGTTTGCCCTTCACCTCATCTAGAAATCAGAGCACAGAAGGTTCACTGGGCTCTTCGGGTCATCCATCAAGAAATGAGGAATTGTTCTCCATAGGGTGCAGAACGCTGTCTGTTGCTATTTAAGCCTGGTTCAGAGTGCCCCACTTCCCTTGGAAGACTATTCTATAGTCTGATGATGTATTCCATATAACAAGGAGCAAGTCCTCCAGAACCAAGTGAAAACAGTAATAGGGAATAGCTAGATACAATGATTCTTGAGAACCCAAGAATGCAAGCCTAGTCCATGTACTGAAAGAATGAACAATCTGTAGTAGATACATAGACAGATTTTCTAGCAATATCAAATGCAGACCACCCACAGATTACTGTAGAGAACAACTTCCCCATAAATGTGCATCTGAAGGTCAATAATTTCACTGCCAAAACTCAACAGCAGATAGAAAACACAACAGAGGAAAGGATCTTGCTGCCAACATGAGAAGATATTATGCTAGATGAGGGATTTACGCATACGCATTTGCCAAGATGCTTTGGATCTAAGCTTTTGTTTGTTTGTATTTTCTGCAAAAAGCACAAGCTGCACTGAAACCCACATCTTGTATTTAAGTAGACAGAGATAACAATTTGCAGTTTTAATGCATGATATTGAACAAGGAAGCATCTGTTGGCATAAAGAGTCTCAACGGTAATGTGTAATATTAAAGAGTCGTCAGTATGGGAATGGGGACGCATTGTACATCAGCTCAGTGGATCCCTTCCAAGACTGCATTATTTTAATTTGAGAGAGACAAGGTGGAGACAATTATTGAGAGAGAGAATTATTTTAATTCATAATGATGTACTTTAGTTTGCTTCGCCTACTGCATATTTTGCAGTCTTAAGAGTCCTAGATAGATCTGAGACAGTTTCAGGATCTCCTACTGCCTGAAGCAAACTGTTCCTAAAGTCATCCTCTCTGGGAAAGATGCTTCCCTCTACCTCCTGCAGATCAAAAAGCACCTTGGCCTGGGGTGTAAAAGCTTTCATATCCAACCAGGCCAGCAATCAGGGTCTACTGAAGAGAAAAGGCTGAAGCATCTCTCAAAAACACTTGGCACATGATGCAGTACTTTAACGCTCTGATTACTGAATCGTTTTAAAGGGCTATGTCATTAGTGTGGAGAGCAGACTGGCACGATTTAGAGAGAAGTGCCAAGAAACTTGGGGAATGTGCAGCAGAAGTGTTGACTGGTGGAACAAGCAAAATGGCTATTGCTAGAGCATCAGCAACATCTAGCAATCCTTTACAAAAAACATAGATCAAAAACTGAAAGTCAAGATGAGCCTGGCCCACTTGATCAAACATCAAAGAAGTTATAGGATCCTGAGGGTGCTCTGAAGCGTGACTCCTTTGAAACCACCCAAAATCTCTTCATTTTGTTCCAGGAGTGAGGAAGCCAAAGCACAGCTCCTCCCAATGAACCAGCTGGTCTTTCCTCACTGCACTCTGAACAGAGGGAACCTGTCACACATCATCAAGCCAGCCAGGGAGAGGTCTCGGTTTGTTTTTGTTTTTTTAATTAAGGGCAGGCAGGATTTTAACAACTCAGTCAAAACTAGTCACTAACCCACCGCCCTGCTGATGGCAGGCTGGAGACTTTAAGGTGGGGGAAAATGCCAACAAAAGCTACAAATATCCAGCTTCTGTACTAAGATTGTTAAAATTCCTCATTACATATGGTCACGCAAATGAAAAAACATTGTCAATTATTTGTTACATAACAGAGCACTAGCCGTCTTCTTACTCAGCCTTTTTCCAGGCCCTCCTCATACTGAGTGGAAGGATAATTTTCTTTTTACTGAAGGCATGATGTATAAGATTCAAACACGAAGTATCATATTCACAAAGAGATAGAGGAAAGAACACAAAAAAGGCACAGAAACTAAGAGAACAAGTACAGACCATCAGCAAAAGTGTTTGCAAAAATCCAAGGCAAAGGACTCCTGAGAGAGAAAACCAGGCTGCACACAAGCAATGGAGTACTATTGTTGCCACTCCGCCAAGATTTGTGAGCCATTTCTCTTTCTTCTGCTTCCCCTCATCCACCCACCCACTCGACAAGTTTAGATCCAGAAACAGAGTAACAGCCCCAGATGGCAGGAGGGGGAACAAACGAGATCTCTCTGCATTTAAAAGAACAAGCCGAGGTTCTGGGATACACAACTGTAAAAGTTCTCTCTTTCAAAGTAATAAACATGCTGGTCTTGCCAGAGCAGTTCACTAGAGACTCACAGCTCACTAGGGTTGAGTGAGCACATGTGCTCATGCAGAACATGGCTCGCGGACTGCATTTGGAGGCAGAAAACATTATGTTAGAAATAAACGTGCTAAATCACTGCTGCTTTGGGGAGTCTCATCTGGATGCAGTTACAATCCAAATGACTAGCTCATTGTACAAGCCCAAAGAGTTTTATCAATCCCAAGTCTGGAAAGTAGTGAAAATGAAGGAAGAAGAAGAGAAACACATTCTGGTAGTCTCATAAATGCTATTCAGGCTAGCATGAATGCATGGCAGAAAATTTCACTTAACGCTGTTGAAATTTCCAGTTAACGAGTGGTGCACTCCAAGAAGTTTATTTTCATAGTAATAACCGCCTTCTCCCCTCCCCCCCAACCTGCTTATACAAATAGAATCCACAAAGGCTTTGCAACTAACAGAGTTTGGGTTTGATACCAATAAACAGCAATATTTTAGTTTCAAGCACACGGCATTAACTCCCTTAAAGTGTGCAGTGTTCCAGCCTGGCTGCACCAGTTCCGTCACTGTTCCCTCCCCTTAAGTAATTTTGCAGTAAGTAAATTCATGTAAGGCAGCTGTAACTTAGTCAGCCTTTATTAAACAAGAGCCTGATCCTGTGAGATGAGTGTGCCCTTGATTCCAATCGCTATCAGTGAGAGGAGAGGGCACTTTGCAACTTACAGATCAGGGCCCGGGTCTCCAATGGGAGTTGTAGCTGCACCAGATCACCATTTTTAAGCTTGTAAGTCAATGTGACTGAAGTCTGGTTAGTCCTTACTTGTATTGAAACTTAATATCTTTTAGTGGGGCCCGCCTGAGGTTCCATTTTACCTTTCCTCTTTCGACTTCTTTTGTTGTCATAACGATAACACGAGAGTTCTCCTGGAATACCATTCTCCAGAAGTCATTCACTGTGTTCTGTAGGCAGCCTTGAGTAGCAATGTAACTTTTTTTTGGCTTTGAATTGTTGCACTTAGTTTCAAATTCAGGCTAGAGATCAAAACAAATATCAATGAATGTGATTGTAAAATGACTTTAATTTGTTTTTAGGAGGGAATACAATAGCAAGCAAGCTATGCTCTGTGCCAATGACAGATTGAAGGAGGCAATAACACACTTACCATAATAATATTAGCATTGATATAATCTGAAACTGGTTCATTTGGATCTCCGTCATGTAGAACAACTCTGGTATGATCAACTAGAGGAAGGATAAGTAAACAGCATGTTAAACTGCTGCATTCTGTGATTGCTAACTAGTCAACTTGTAATTGGTTCCTTAGTACCAAACAAACTACATGAAGGCCAAGTTTCGCATGTACTTGACTACTTACCATTTCTAATAGCTAAGAAAATGGCCAGATGACTCAACCTTTCCTCTCTCCCTGCTCCCTAGGACAATTATTTAGTCAGTGCTTCATATTTGCAATTAATCTGAATATGAGATATATAAAAAGTATATATAATTATTCTGTCCTGCACCCCTACAGCACAAATTAATCCTCTTAAACTTACTGAACACTAGTGCTCATCACTGAGCAATAGTTTAGCTTGTTGGTGTTTTAATAGAACAGCACTGTACTACTGGCCAATAATTATTAGCTTCCCAGTGAAAGGATCCGTGAGTGTACCAGCCCAATGTTAACAGTGAAACAAGAAAAAAAGTGAAGACTACTTACAAGGTAAAATGTTTTTGTATCTATTTTTGTTTTTGCTTTCTTGCCGTTGACCCTCTTTACGACTATATAGAAGTTTGCATTCTTGCTGTTGTAAAGTCTAGATGAAAAGGGCACAAACAACTGGTTTTACTAAAACTTGCACCACATTGGGAATGATGAGACAGAGTGCACACAGTGGTGGCTCTCGAGAAAAATCTGACATTTGACTATCATACTAGACAGCATTAGAAAAATGAAATCTCATGCGTCAGCATTCAGGTTGGTTTGATAAGGTTGGTTCAAAGGGTTAAACACACTGAATTAGGAAATTCAAAACAGCAGAGTTACTAGAAATAATATGTGACGACTTTGAAGGCAAAAGCTTATGTCTGGAATCCAAACTTTTGTAAGTCAAGTAACCATTGCATCAGTAAGTTTCCATTCTATTGCGTTGAGGCAGATATCTGCATATACAGGTTGGTCTTTTTTAAATTCAACTTCCTACGGAACTTTATATTCAGAAACAATATTTGGTTACATAAACCTGGCATAAAATGTGTTGTTGTTTTTTTTAAATGTCAGAAGTTTGGCAGTCTGAAGGAAACCCAAACAAGCCAACTGCAAAAGGAAAGCAAAAGCCTGAACGTGAACACACTGAACTGTGGGCCAGATCCTCCAAGCGTTAAGCCTTCTGGCAAGCATTAAAACATGATCACCTCAAGTCAAATTCCTAAAATCCACTATTTAGTAGTAACACGTTACAAAGAATTCAGGACTGATGGAGTCTGCCCATATGTGGCCATTCCGCATTTAAACAATTAAGTAAAGGGACCTCCCAAAGCATCCTCAAAGACTTGTATCATCATATGAAGCAAGAAGCTGGGCTGGGATTTTCCAAGCGGTTTAACCAGAGTCGCAAATGCTTTTCCAAGTGGCTTCATAACATACCAGTGACATAGCTATGCCCATTTTGCAGACGGAAAGACTAGGCAGAGAACGATTTAAAGGGGTTTGCCCAAAGTCACAGACACTGGCAAAGCCCGGAAGAGAATCCGGGAATCTCAACTTAAAGTCCTCAGCTCGTTATTGTTTCCTAGGCAGTGACTCACCCAAGAGTAGGAAACGTGGTCTAGGGGACTGAGCAGAGAAATGGGACCCAAGGAGCAGCAAGTTCTAACCCAGTCTCTGATATGGGCTCAATGGGGGACACAGAGAAAGTCTTTTAGCATCTCTCTCCATCTTGAGAAGTAAGGGGCAATCCCTACTGCCTCCGAGAGAGTTGGGAGAACCAATCAATGTTCACACTGCTTTGAAGGAGAAGTGCCAATACCATCAAAGCAACCAAAAGAGACCCCA